CTACTGAGCTGGCAATACCCATTCGTTAACCTTAAAAGTGGCATGAAATGTGTTTAGGGAAAGTTTATGGATCTAAAGAATTTCAGCTGGAGCAACCACAACTATTTTCACTGTTTAACTTGCTATTATTATTGACTTCGCTGGCTACTGAGATAAAATTTCCTAAAATAAAAACATGCTTCTAGAATTACTAGTACACACCATCCCTTTCATCAGGTCGGGTTAAGCTATTAGAAGAGTGCTCGGATAGTTTACAAAAGATTCTGGACAAGATGGCCCAAAAGGATATTTTTTGACAAATCAGCAAATTGTTCCACATCCTGCAATTGTCAAAACAAGGAAAAACAGAAATTAAAGCGAGAATGTAGATGAGAAATGTACTACACTGATGCAGAAGAAGAGTAGAAATGCATGGTAACATACAGCTAAGTGAGAGTTGGAATTTCAGCAAACGGCAACAAAAAAGCAAACAAAGATGGCTAAACAATATCTAGATCAGAAGTATGCAAACAGAATTGCGAATTTCCAAAAGTCTCAAATTGCATTTATACTCACTCTAACTTCTCCACCGGTGTACTGCGCTACTGATGAATCTAATTTAGGCATCATCGGTAACAATATTTCCGGATGCTTCTCCCATATAGCCGTCCCGGGGGCAAAGAAGCGTGCAACAGCAGCTACAAGCTCATTGTGGTCCACACCAACCCCTAAGAAAAAGCCTCTTGAATGATGACGTCGAAAAAAAAAACTCTCACCTGCAACGACAAGACGTTCTGGTGCATGATATTGACTGATGTACGAGTTGACATGCTGTTCTGTTATACTTGGCAACGCTCTTTCGCTGGTAAACTTTGAAAAACCCAACGTATTGTCACGGAAGGCGGCCTTGAAACATGAGATTCAAACAAACTTTGTATTCTGATGGTCACTGTTACCATACTACGTGTTAAATCAGAAGAGAAGTGGAGAAAAGACCAGGTCTATGCAGAAAAAAACTAGCCCTATGTATCCAATCTGTAAGCAGAGGTTCGGTGCTCTCGATTTTGCGTGGCATATCGTCATTCTCATACTGCACAATCATTTTCGCTTCTTCCATCTAAAAAAATTCCACCCTCACCTTTGGTCAAAGATTTTTAAAGCATGCGTACTTCTTCCGCAGTATTGTTCGCACGCCAAATAGCATTTGCAAGTATTTCCATAACCGCATCAAGACCAGATATGTGGCAACTTGCTGCATAGATAAATGTGTCCTGAAGTGAGATTTTCATCACTAATTAGTGGAACTTCGCAGCTGAACTCACTCTAGTACTTTGGCAGTCTATTAAGCCACCATTTTCCTGAAGTACTTCATATATTTCGTCTCTGGAAGAATGCCGTGAAGTTGACTGAAAGAGCAAACTGCACGATCATTTTTCATAAAGAATTCATGAAAAAAACGTTTGCTTAGTACAAGAATATGATAAAAAACGTTCAAAGTCTGTCTCAAAAAAATCATTCTTCAATTTTTAGATCTACCTAGTCAAATTTGACAAATTGCAGTATGCAATTCACTAAAAGGATGTTTAGCAAAAGAATACTTCATATTTATTATAAAAAGGCTTTTGGGAAAGGGTAGGAATGCAAGAGCGGAGTTTGTCCAATATGAATTAGACCTCGCAGCGCTGGACAGCACTCATATTTCAAACGTATAAAACGCGATAAAAAATGGCACACTAATGAGATGACGAACTTCACTGGGACTATGAGAAAATTATGGATGATAAAGGTCAATGATACGGAAGGCCAAGCGAAATGCACTTACCCCAAAGGCCAGTTTCTCTACAATATGAGAGGTACCGAGAGGATAACCAGCTTCGTAACGGCTCCCGCTTTCGATGGCGACTGAAGATAAAGGGATTGGCTTGCCAACAAAAAATATTAACTTTAGACCAAAGAAAGGACTCATAACAGTTAGATTATAAGCACGCTGCCGTGCGCACAGAAATTAAATTTTGTTATCACCTCCGATTGTACAATACTCTCCATAAAAAGGTTCCGAAGCAACCCGTATCTTCGATTTGAGTGCCGTCAACTTTGTGTCAAACGGTACATAGTTAAGGTCTTGCGGAGATTTTACAGCGAGTCCACCTTCCAGTGGAGTGCACAGCGGTATTCTAGTAATCCTCTGAAATGATATTTACACGTATCCAAGAGTCCAATTTAAAAATTAGGGCTGTTTCTTCGCACACGGAGATCCTTATAATGGGACTTTGTCGTTGCAAGCGACCGGATGAAGGCGCGTCGTAACAACCGGGTTATCATAACTACCTAAAAAAAGTAAAACTTTGGTAAAGATCCAAAAGTTGATAAAATTTCAAACCAACGGATATCTGACTAGATAAAAGAACACTACTTCTTACGATGGATAAAGCTAACGGCATATACTTCTATTACAGCCGCGCGCTTAACCAAGCAGTAGCGTCGCGGTTGTTGGGCTAGAGCGGACTATCGTTTTTCTAGGTTTTAGATAGTGTTGCTTGATATGAAAGTAGGCCCTCTAGGTTAGATTAGTTTGCATTACATCAATCAATACAAGGCATATTCTTTTGTGATACACGTCACTGTTATCTGCAACTTGAGTGATTCTGGATTTCCTTTATGGTCAAAAAATAAATTTCAGGATAATCTCAAAAATATCTATGCATGAGTTGGGTCAAGAAGTAAGGCAAGTGGGCCCGCGTATAGCGACATTTTCGCGCGCACAGTTGCGCTGGGGCCCTCGGCTGGGGCACGAAAGCTGTCAAAGCGCATTGCTAGGGAGCCATGGAATGCGTCGG